GAATAGCACATTAGATAGCTAGACTAATAATATTTTACAATATACGCACTTCGCAATCATGAAAGATGCACTCAATAAAGTGAATCACGTTTCCTAGGGTTGTAACCCTTTTGTACATCCTAATTAGACAAAGTTTAAGAGCCATTTGTGGCAATGCGTTCGTCAATTTTTTGATCGACACAAAAAGGGGAGGTATTTTTTTGAACCTTTGTTGGTTGAGTACGTATAAAATATATTTTTTGTGACTGTAGTGTCAATATTAATCAAGATTTATATAATCACATCTCATGTAAAGATGATAATATGTGTATATTAATTAATAAATTAATTATAATTGACATAAAGATGGCAATATGTTTATATTAATATTTGCAAAAAAAAAAAAATGCAATTAAAATCCTTCTATTTTTTTATTGATACCATGTTTATGTAAATTAACAATAAAATCTTTGCTAACAAAATCTATCGTCCAAAATATAATATATCCTCCTAAAGTTAACAAAATATTTGCTAACAAAATAGTTGCTAATAGAATCATTGCTCACATCCAAGCAAGATCCACGGGATCAATAAATATTTGCTAACAAAATTATCCACGGGACTGTTATAGAAACAATATTTCCAAAATATTTGCTAACAAAATTATCCACAAATTGGTATACAAACAATATTTCCAATTTTGTCCGAAAAATTTTAAGCGGGAAAACTTCGTCCATTTTTGGCAAAATGGATTCGTCCATTATATAGATATAGATTACTATGTATATTTACTATTTACTTTCTTAGTTTTGGAGTTTTATATTCTTCATGCTTATCAGGCAAATGGCGCACTAGCCGCCACGAGTTATGTGCGAATGTGCAAACTTAGGTGTGAGCTCAGCTCGACTCGTAACTGAAATTAGGGCTTGACCTATCTATCAATATTACCTAGTTGAACTATATAACATTATATAAAAAATTCTCTTTTATAGCTTTATCGAACAGTGAAACGAGCTTTAAATAAGTTCAAACTCGAGTCTTAAGGAGCCGATCGCACGAGCGGGCTACGGCAAATCTCATCCAAGGGCGGATTCATATATAGTCGAGCCTAGGAAATTGCCTAGGCTCAATTTTTTGTGCTAACTACATAATTAACATGTGTTAATAAAAAAATTATATTAAATATGTGTAAAAATATGAATACAAGTTTTTACTTTAAAGTTTTAAATAGTACTTACAAAATAACATTATTGTTTTATTTAAAATGATACATCTCACCGGTGAAATTCAACGATGTATATTATAATATTTTTAGTACTTATACCATATAATAAGTTTGATAGGTAAATTTATTTTTTTCAATTATAATTGACAAATATTGAAGTTTTTATTGATAGAAATCAGATAGTATAATTATTTTAATTTATATATACAATATGAATGCCAAATTATATATTGTTAAAATATGACTAATTTAAGTTATCATATATAAAAAATGATAACATATATAATTTAAAATACATTTACAATTTAAGTTACCCAAGCATTTAATTTGAAAGTTCAGGATAAAAGATCCATTTTGTGTTGTCTATTCGAATCCTTAGAAATTGTCATATAGAATTACAAAGCATTCGAAATTAACAATGAAAAACTCTACATTTATATATAAAGAAGATAATCCATAAATAAATCTTTATAAAATAACAAGAATATAAATGATGACATTTAAACTTTTCTTAAATTAATAAATTATATTGCAAAATGACTTGTTTATTTCTTGTTACAAAAAAAAAAAATAAAAAAATGAAGGAAAAAGATTGTAAAATATGGTATATTTCTTAATAATAATAAAAACGCAAAATAAAATAACCAGATCTCATTTTCAATTTCACTTTTTAGCATCAAGTCAAGGACAAATTGAAAAGAGGACCTCTCAACACTCGATTGTTTCAACGATTTATTTAATTGTAAATATAAGTACTTTGTTCAACATGGGTAAAAAATTCGTCAAATTATTTTTGCCCAGGCTCATGAAGATTTCTGAATCCGCCGCTGATCTCATCGTATTTCACTTCAACCTAAAACTCTTTTTTTCCCAAATTATTTTTGCCTTGTTACAAGCAAAGAACAGATATTCAATGCTTGCTTCACAATCCCCACAGATCACATACTGGTTTGAAAAGGTCAGCTGGAAGACTTCAGAAGCTTCATCAGGGAATTTAATTTTCTTCTTTGAATGGTACAACAATGCAAGAATTTACTAGTGTTATTTCATTTTCTAAGACAATTAACTCAAGATTTGTCCCTCCAAAATACTTCATCATTATAAGCTCTCTTTCAAATGATTTTCTTTTCAGCTGCATTTTTTATTTTTACACATCTCAATTGTTTTTGAGCTGTTGATTTTTATTTATTTTTTTTATTTTTTTCTTCCAATCTAGCAGGACCATTGGACCAAAGGATGTCCACTTGTCTTTTTTTACTGAAAGACTCAACAACAATTGTCTTTTTATTGAAAGACTCTAGATCACTTATGGATATGTGTGACTTTACCAATTTTTCTTCCAAATAGTAAAAACTCTTATCCAACTTTTCTTGCAAATAGTCCTCCCTTTTGACTCAAATTACACCATGTAAAAGGGTGTCCTTCCAAAGAAATCTTTTCCATTCCCATGATGTAATGACACGAACCGAACCGAGCTTGGGAGACTACTTCGAATTCGTGTTCGTTTACGTAGTATTCGTGTTTTTTCGTTTATTTTTCGAGCAAAAAATCGTGTTCAAGTTCGTTTGTTTAATTGTTCATCAAAGTTCGAGTTCGTTCGTGTTCGAATAATTTAATACATAAGCTTTTTAAATATGTTTGTTACTCGAAATTTGTTACTCGAAAATAAAAAAAAAATATATATATTTTTATGTTTTAGATTTTTTATTAAAAAGATTACTTAAATATATAAAAAATAAATAATACTATATTAAATCTTAGATTTTTTTAAATATTATGTAAATATATAAAAAGATAAAATAAAAATATATTAAATTAATGTTCATAAACACAATCGAACATTCACGAGCGAGCTCATGTTCATATTATTAAACGAGCGTAATTCTCTATTCTAGCTCGGCTCGATTAACAAACGAACGAGCTTTTATCGAACACGAACGAGCTCTTGTTCGCAACGTTCTCTATTTTCCCATATCTCTTATGAATCACTTGAAACATGCAAAGCTTCCATTATTACTTCTCAATCTCCCTCCAGTTTTTTCTTCATTTCCAGTGATATCATTGAAGTCACTTCCAATCCACCAAACCTTTCAATTAGATCCCTTTTTTCTATAAATAAGAAGTCCCAATGAATCTTCCTTATCACATTATCAAATACTCTAACACTGTCGACTTTAAACTGGCCATGAATACAAAAGTGCCTTACCACAAGCTAATCCACCTCCACCTGTTGAGGGCAACAAAGAAAAAGACCCCCCTTTGATCCCCTCAGGCTAAAAAACTGTCCACATATCTTGTAATTTAAAGGGTCTTACAGATAGAGGTAATAAACTCCTTTTTTTTATATATATATTTAGTGTCACTTAAGTAGCAAACATCTGGGGACTGAATTTACCAGAAAAACATGTTGAAATAAAGGCTACCAAGCACACTTGGCAATCAAAAAAGACCCAGCATATTCATAAAGATGAATAACCTTCC